CCCCGGCTTGGTCATCCCCGCCTTGTCCATTCTCGCCTTGTCGGACTTCTCTCCTGACTTCTCTCCTGACTTCTGTCGGGACCTCTCTCCGGATCGGTCTACCCCTCCAGAGCGTTCTCCCCCGCCATTGCGTTCTACGGCCGAGGCTGCCTTGCGGCCGAGCGGCGACCGTTCAACGGGTTTGTGGGACCGTGTTAGCGAAATGGAGGGGTTAACTGACCAGCCGGCGACGAAGATGAAGTGCTGCGCATTCTCGAGTGCCTCGCTAATGTCGTTCCACGTGGAGTGCGCGTGGAAAGGACCCAGCTCCGTCTCGATATCTTCGAACTGGCCCTCAAGACACTCGGCGTCGTGGTACAGCCGGACCAGGTTCCCATGCGAACGACGGAAGTATGTCTGTGGCACGTTCAGGTCCGTAGTGTGCAGGTCTTTGCTCATGTCGTACCAACGGAACTCAACCTTGACACGCGACATGCAGCTCCCCGACTTCCCGCCTGCGCCACCACTATCGCTGTTTCGGAAGCTACTGTTGAAACTGCTGCAGTACCCCGCGGGCCGTGGCGCCGCTTCTGAGTCCTCGAATTCAGAGCTACCGCCTCCTAGGCCGCCAGCTCCCAGGCCAGTTCTCAGACTCCCGGCTGTCAAACTCCCGACTTGTTGACTTCCAGGTCCCTCACTTCCGACTTGCTGACTTCCAGGTCCCCCACTTCCAGGTCCCCCACTTCCAGGTCCCAGGGTGCTGCCGCCGCCGATGGTGGCCCTGAGGGTCCGGCGGCTGCCGCGTTGAACGCTGCTGCTAGCGCCATGAATGGTGTGTCGTCTAGGCGCCCCGACAGAGCGGGGAATGCGCATGCCGGGGTGTTTGATGGAAAGCGAGAGTCGAATAGCTTTAGGGGGAGACATGATGATGTCTCGGAGGGGGAAGCTGGCTTGGCCGAGGACATCGACGTTAGTACTTTCGTTCATGTCCGAGTCAAGTACTTTTATTAGCAGTCGCGCGTTTGACTCGATGTCCAAGATCGTCGAGAACTCCTTCCGCCATTTCGGGTAATGATCGTGGGGTATAACGGGTGTGCGTCCGAGCCGATATGAGAGTCCTTCGTCGTTCACAATCTCCACCACACAGTACGGGTCTGCCTTACCGATGCACAACGCCTCACCCGCTGTCGCCCCGCAATCCTTCCCGCATGGCGGCCGCCGAGACGACTGACTCCGTCGCTTTCGGAACAACAACCAAGACTGCATTATCGCCTCGCCCTCGATTACGTAACAGTGAAGTAACCCGAAGAACCGCTGTGGCAGCCCCACCGTCTCCAAAGATGAACTCTCGCGCGGACCCAGCTGTTGCTGCACCTGCCACCGCACGCGACCAGCCACATTCGACCGCCGCGTAACTTCTCCTACAACCAGCTAGCATTGACCAACTAGCCTCAAAACCAACACCACATCTCTATATGCGCACACACCAGTATGTGCATACACTACTAGCATACTGATAAATGGTCAGCTAACTACACCTATCTCACCTCACACGGCGATGTATCAATGCCACACAAGAGTGTATCAATGACACACAAGAGTGTATCAATGACACACGAGAGTGTCTTAATGCCATACAAGACCACACAGGGGTGTGTCGATGCCCCAAAGGGTGCGTCAGCCCCACACACCCAGTGTATCGCCCGGCGTCCTCCCATCCTCCCGTGATACGCTCTCAT